GTCCTTGGGTGCGTCTGTGGGGGCGGCCTCGTCCCCCGCTTGGGCCGGCCCCTCGTTTTTGACCGCCTCATCAGCTGCGGCCGGCCCCGGCTCCAGCCGTGCCGCGAGCCGCGGGAGGGCAATCAGCAGCTGCGCGGCGGCTTCCGCGCCCAGCGCGGGAGCGGGCGCCGCCGCGGGCGCCGCCGGGGCGCCGCCGTCCCGACCCTGACTGGCGTCGGCCGCGGCGCTGCCTGCTGCGACGGCCGCCTCCGCCGCAGTCAGCACGGCCGACATCCAGGCTTCTCCTGGCGCCAGACCCAGCGCCGCCGCGGCCGACGCGATTGATGCCAGATCAGCGGGCGCCACCGCCGCCGCCGCCGGCCCAGCCGAGACCTCAGGGGCGTCGCCGCCGACGCCGCCGCCCACGACGGGATCCGCCGCTGCCGCAGCGCTCGGCACCGCCGCACGCCCCTGCAGGAGCTCGCAGCCCCGCGCCTCCCACGCGCGCAGCCACGCGCCCGCGGCGCCCCCGCGCCGCCTGCCGCCCTCAGCGGAGCCAAAGGACGACGGGTCCAAGCGCGGCAGCGCCGCGCCGAGCGCCGCCAGGCGGCGGGCGTCCAGATAGCGCAGGCGTGGCAGCGAGGCAGACACGAGCGCGGCCACCCAGGAGGTGCGCGCCTCTAGCCGCAGGTCTGCAGCAGCCTGCATCCAGGGCGCGCGGGAAGGTGGAGCGGTTTTCGGATGCCATGCACGTGAGTGGAGGACGGCATCACAGCATGCGGGAGCCGCGTCAACAGTGGCGGGCAGCCATGTAAGAGCCGCATGCAACGCTGCAGCCGCATGCGCCCCATGAATGGGACTCCGCCGCCCTCCATGCGAGCACATGCGGCCCCTGCAGCGCGCTGCGGTCGCAGTCGCGGTCGCGCCCACCGCCGCGCAGTCGGCCAGGTCGTCCGCTGAGAGCGCCCCCAGCTGCAGCTGCAGCACGGGCAGTAGCTCCTCCCCAAAATCGAATACGGCCCCATGCCGCGCCCGCAGCTCCTCCGCGCCCGCCGCCGCGCCCACGCCCGCCGCAGCCGCGGCGGCGGCGCCATCCTGGGTGAAGGGCAGGCGCGCGACCAGAGCAGCCACGTGGCGGGGCCGCAGGCGGCCCCTGGCCTGCTCCTGCTCGTACAGCTGGCGCAGCGGCCTCAGGCTGCTGCACGCCGCGATGCGCTTCAGTGTGGCGTCCTCGCCGCGCGGCGCGCGGGTCGCTGCCGCCTCGCGCGGCCTGGGCCGCTCCGGCACCACCTTGTCTGTAGCGGCCTGCTGCGCGGCAGCCTGCGGCCGTTCGCCGGAGTGCTGAGCGGCCGGCGCCTGCGACTCCGTCGCAGCAGTAGCTTCTGGCTCCTGCTGCTGCTGCTGCTCAGTCGCAGCAGTGGCTTGCGGCCCCTGCAGCTGCGGCTGCTCCGTCGCAGCAGTAGCTTGTGGCTCCTGCTGCTGTGGCTCCTGCTGCTTCTGCTGCTCCCCCTCGTGCTGTGTGTCCTGCTGTGCCAGCCGCTGCCTAATCTCCCGCAGCTGCGCCGCCGCGGCCGCGATCTTCTCCTGGCTCACCGTCCCCGCCGGGCGCGTCAGCAGCTGTTGCAGCTCAGCGTTCAAACGCGCGAGCCTCTCCACATCCGCGGCCATGTTCCAGGACACCGCCTTCGCTGAGCTGGCGGAAGCAGTTCCATAGCTGGCTTCAGCTTGGCGCCCAACTGAGCCCTGTCCTGCCCCTGCGGCGGCTGCCTGCGCCCCGCCGCGAGGCTTTTCGCTTCGCGGCGGACGTGTCGTGCGCTGGGGGCGGGTCGCGCTGGCGGCGCCTGCGTCAGCAGCAGCAGCGGGAGTTTGCTGCTGCTGGTCCCCCTGCTGCTGCTCTCGCCTTTGCTCCACAGGCTCATGGAGAGGCTGGTGCTGCTGCTGCTGCTGCTGCTGCTGCTGCTGCTGCTGCTGCCGGTGCGCCAGCTCATCCTGCAGCAGCTGCTGCAACTGGCCCTCTATGCCCCCGCTGCCGCCGCTGCCACTCGTCGCGGCGGCTGCGCCCACACCCGCCCCGACTGCCGGCCCCCCAACCGCTGCGGCCGCTGCCGCCTGGGGCGCCGCCGCTGCTCCCTTTGGCGCCGCTTTACCAGGCCGTTTGGTGGTGGCCTTTGCCGAGGGCACGGCGGCTGGCTGGAAGCGAGGTGCTGCAGGCTTGACCGCGGCTGGCTGGGCCAGAATCGCATCATTCACAGTGGAGCCGTTGCGGTTTGCACCATCCGCCGGCGCCGCAGGTGCATCTGCGTGCACCGCAGTCGCTGAAGGCGTTGCGCGCTCCGCTTCGACCTGGGGTGCTGGCGCGGGCGCTAGTGCTGGGACTGGCGCCGGCGCTTGAAGTGGCGCCAGCGCCGGCGCCGGCGATGGTGCCGGCGACGGCACCGGCGACGGTGCCTGCGACGGCGCGGGCACCGCCGCGGCGACGCGTTCGGTCAGCACCGCCAGCTGCTGTTGCAGCAGTGCGTTCTGCTGTAGCGTCGCGGCCAGCACCGCGTTCATCTGCGCCATTTGCTGCTGGATCAGCGCAAGGTCGGAGACCGGCTGCTGCGGCTGCTGCGGCTGCGGCAGCTGCTGCTGCGGCTGGGGCTGCTGCCCGTGGACACCGTTGGCGCTGGGACCGCCTTGGGCGGTGCTGGCTGCACGCAGCGGCGGGGCCTGTTCAAGCGGATGGCAGCGAGTGCGCAATGAGCGGCGATGTGCTCGACCGTCTGCCGCCCTGCCGCGCCTGGCTGTTCGGCTGCATGCGGGCGTGCACGGCATGGCGCAGTGCATTTGAAACTAGGCGCCGCTCGCCCGCGCCGCCTCAGATGCAAGCGGCGCCACACTCACCAGTAGCCGACTACCTATGCGCTCACGGACGATCCGGGTGAGCGCCAGCCTCCGTGCCGGGAGGGCGGTGGCCGCCGCAGGCGCGGCCCGCCCACGTTGAAGGTGCGGCGGCCGCATGCTGGCGACAGCGACGGCTGTGCACGCGGCCAGAGCGAGGGGCGCCAGGAGCGGTGCAGTGAATGTATTTGAGTATTCCTGATGACAACCGCGCAACGAAAGTGGCAAGCGGCTCGCGAGCAACTTGCCTGCACAGATCAGGTGGGACGCAACAAAGCGTGCACTATTTAAGTGATGCCAGAGGCGGCATAATGTTTGACACGCGGCAAGCTGACAGCCTCATTGGTCTGCGATGGTGTCAGCGAAAGCTCGGCGGCACCAGGTGAGCGCCAAGTTGGCTGAGTGGATGGATAGTTTTGCTGCGGTCTTGAGGTCGCTCAGGTGCCTTCTGAGCTGTATCTGCAGCGGGTTTGCGACTCTGATACAGGACACATGCATGTTGAGAGATATGTCATCACAGCCGCACACAACTGTGAGGGTGGTGATCATGAGGGTGGGTCAATGCAGTGCGCCGCCGGGGTGGGGGGGGGGGATTTGCGGCATCTGCTCAGGAGTTCTTGTAAAGGATTATGCCACACACGTGTGTAACACAGCACGGCCTGCTGCTGTGGTGCACAAAGTGCGCTTGCAGGTCGCATGTTAGCCCCAGTAGACGGCGGTGCGACCGCACAACCTCCAGCGCTCTCCCACATTCAGGTTGGGAGGCGCGGAAGAATCAGCACTGATGACATTTGGGCGTTGTGTTGGTAGACGCCGATGCTGCACGTTGCAAGCAGCAGGCTCGCCTAGCTGCTGGCCTTGTCCCAGGGCTATCTGGGGGATGATGTACATACACCACCTCCGTGATGCAACTGCAAGCCTCCTGGAATGGACAAAAACCATCAATGCCGTTGCATCGGGCCTGAGGTGCTGGCGCTGTGGATCACTTCGGCGCAAGCCCGCAAACCTAGCTGCTTGCCGCCATTCCTGTCCCGGGACAGCACTAGCCAGGCTGAGGCGTGGGTCTCCCAGGCTGCTAGGACCAGGCCCTACATATGGACACCTAGCCGGGAGGCGCCGCCAGAAGTGCAGCTTAGATCAAATGTGACGGCGCAGCGTGCCAATTGCGTCGCCAGGCACCATGACAACAGAGCCAGTAAACCACCCTTCTCAGCGTAAAATCTGCAGGTGCTGGGTACTCTCAGGTGACGACCGGGCAACTGCACCACTGGCAGTGACTCCGGGCTAGGTGTCCACATGTAGGGCCTGGTCCTAGCAGCCTGGGAAACTCACCCCCCAGCCTGGCTAGCTGCTGTCCTGGAAACATTTCCTTGCGGCTGTAGCACGCTTCGAGTGATTTCTCACAGTTTTTGTCATAAGAGACCCATGATTGCCAGTCCACCCGGTCCATTGCGCATGACACCGCACGCATGCAGCACACACAACAATGAACAAAACTGACCAGCCGATGTGGACACACACAACGCTGAACCTCTTGCCGCGGTGCGCCCCCATTGTGATAATTACAGCACAACTCTGATGCTGTTCATGCAGAAGGCACGACGCACTGGAGAGTGTTCAGGACATCACTGGCCCTGCATCGGAGATGTTCCAGCGGTGCGCAGTGCAGAACACCGCGAAGAGCAGGTGGAAGTCCAAGTTGGGGTCGATCCCAACAGGGCATTTCACGGGCAACGCGCATGTTGATTCGAAAGATAGAGTAATCATAACTTACTACTGCGGCGCACGCCCGCATTGACACCTAATGAAGAGACCGGAGTCTCACAGCGCCTGCCACTGTCTGGCCCGGAGCTAAGGTTGTTTCTGGTAGAACAGCGTGTTTCAGGCTCATAGTAACCAGCATCACATAGCGGTAGCACCACCGACCGCAAGCCGTACCCAGCCAGCAGCGGACCCTGCTACGTGATGCGACGCAACCAGCAAGTGATGCTGCAGGCCTTCCTCGGGTGACAAGCGTCTAGGGGTCACGGCGCCCTTCTCAGCAAGTGCTGCGCCCTAGGCTCCCAGGCAGCAGCCCCAGCTCGACACACCCCCAGCGGCCACCTTTTCGCGGGCCGTGGGCTTCAGCCTCATGCCGCCGCCAAAGCCACGAGCGCGCCCCGCCGCGCCACGGCCGCTGCTGGTGGCGGCCCTGCTCGCCCCGCTCCTGCTCGCCGGCGGCGCGGCGGCCGCGGCCGGGCAGGCCAACGTCTTAGAGCTGCGCCACCATGTGCTCATGCTCACCAACAAGGACGTCAACGGCTGGTCGCTGGGGTTCATGAAAAGCATCCTTGGAGGTGAACAGCCCTCCACCCTCCACCCTCGCCGCGGTTGCAGGCTCTCGCTCCGCCTGCGCCATAATCGCAGCCGCAACCGCAGCCGCACCCACAGTCACAGCCGCAGCCGCAGCCGTGGCCGGGGCCAAAGGCGCAACAGCAGCCGACACCCTCCTGTTTGCAAAGGCCTGGCTAGCCTTGCTGCTGCCGCGAGCGTGCGCTCCTCTGCGCATTTCAAGAATGTATGCGAGCACACACCATGGCGTCGCCCTTCAGCAGCTGCTTCCCAGGAAGCTTTCCTGCCTGCAGCTCCCTGCGGAGGCGCCTGCCCCCGCCACCGGCTGCCCAGCGCCAACCAAGCAGGGTGCAGCAATCAGCCCACGATGCCCGTCCCCCTGCCCAGCGCCGGCGCCCCGGCGAGCGCTTCCCCGCCGTGCCCCTGCCCTCATACCTTCCACCCCTCTTCTTTTTGCTCATCACGTTCGCAAACCCACCCACCCACCCCCAGGCTATGACATCCCGTTCACTGTCGTCCTGACTGGCCCCGACGCGCCCCAGCCGCCGCCTGCTGATCTGGACGCCCTCCTATGGCAGACCAAGGGGCGGGTCGGGCGGTTCAGCGCGGTCGTGATGTACCCAGACCTCGAGCACATCGGGACGCTGCCCCCGCCGCAGGCGGCGCAGCTGCGGTCCTACGTCGCGGCGACCGGCGCGCGAGTGCTCAAGTGGGGGGTCTGGGGCAGCGAGCTCGCGCACACGCCGGTGGCGATCGCGGAGTGCAGCACGGGTCTGCAGGGCATGCAGCTGGTGGAGGGCGGCGTGCCGCTCGGCCTGTCGGGGGTCAATCCAAAGGCCCCGCTCACGACCGAGGGCATCTACAGGTGTGTGTGCTGCCCGCCCGCCCGCAGGGGCTTGGCCTGACGCCCCTTGGTCCTGCTGTAGGGGTGGGTGGTCAGCGCGGCGCCGACCGGCGCGTGCCGTCTGCGACAAAGCGCCCCGTCAGCAGGGCGAGTGCCGATTTTTTTCACCGACCCGGTGCTGGCATTCACCCCAACAAAACGCCCCTGCTTCCCCTCATGTACACGTGCAGGTGCCCCGGCCTGGAGGGGCGGGTGCAGGACTCGACCTGCGTGTACCCCAGGGACGGCTCCGCCGCGATCTGCCAGCGCCTCGCCTCCGCGCCCGTCCCCTTCCTGCGCCTCTTGCCGAACACGAGCCTCGGCGCCGTCTATGCGCAGCCGACGGTGGCTGGAGCGCTTTTGAAGTACGCGGACGGGCGCCAGGTCATGTCGTTCGCGCTGGACTGCTCGGAGGCGTTCCTGCCCTGCTTTGCGCTGGGCCACATCGCGGCCTCCTGGCTGCTGCAGGATATAATCCCGGGCCAGCGGCGGTCGCTGCTGTCGCTGCAGGTGGGTGTGCGGGCGGGTGGATGGGTCGCGCAAGGGCGCCACTGGATGCATCGGCTTCTTGAGACTGGTTGCTGCGGGCAATACTCAGATGGGGCGTGGGGACCGCACGATCGGGAGGCAGAATCAGAGGCCAAGCCCGTTGGCATCTCTCCCTTCCACCAAAAATCTGGCACCTTACAAGCTGCCATGGTTTCTTTCCTTGTTTCAGATCGACGACGTGTTCCTGCCCACCCGCCTCTACGAAAAGACGGAGCGGTACCGGATGACGTCCGCTGACGTCACCGCCCACATGGCCTGGCAGGCCGACCTCAACTCCCGACTGCCAAAAGGGTCCAATGTGAAGCTCGACATGGTGTTCAACGGCAACGGCGTCTTGGAAAAGGTGTACAGCCCGCTGGGGGCAAAGGACTCGACCCCCTGCCACGACACGCCGCTCTACAAGTCCCTCGGCTGCGCCTGCTTCGGCAAAACCTACGCGGCCTGCCCCGCCGGCGCGCCGCCGTTCTGCCGCAACTGCACGAAGGACTGGCACAAGCCGCTGGGCGGCTTCGGGACGGGCACGACTGTGGGGCCGCACGCACAGTGGGACGCAGCGCAGTTTTTGGCTGGGTACGATGTCTACAAGCTCGTCTCAACCAGTGACGCCGCGAAGGACGCATTCTACTGGACCAGCCACATGTTCTCTCACCAGGTGGGTGTGCCGGCGCAGGGAAATGCACAGGTGGTTGTGAGGTGAAACAGGGGAGCGCACGGGGGTGTAGAGCGTCAAGTGAGCGGCACGCCAGGCGTTCGTGGGCGCGTTGGTGTGGGCATGGGTGGCTCTGAGTGACGCGTTAGCTGCGGCGGCAGAGCACTGCGCATGGTCAAGCGCTTGCTCTGCAAAGGGTCAGCAGTGGTGGTTGAGTTAGCTGGTGGTGCAAAGTGACACACACAACATCTGGACACCAAGAATTGGGGATGTGTTGCAAGAATTGCTCGTGCTGGCCCCTCAACCTGTTCAATCTCCTCAGGTGCTGGACAACACCACGTATGAGGGTGTTGCCACCCAGATCAAATGGAACAAAGTCATGGCTGGCAAGGTGCGGGCCCCCACACTATTACTTGCAGGGTGGGATGGGGTGCTTTGGTGACTTGATCCGGGTGAGACGATGCCCCAATGTGTGAGTACGCAAGGAGGACGGAGGGGGCAGACAGGTGTAATAAGTGCCAGGGCTGTAAGCGAGTGGCACCACAGCTCCGGTTCAGGCCCCTCCGTATTGTGCTGCAGTCGCTCGGCGGGCGTCCCCGCCCTCTCTGCCCTCTCAGCGGCTGCGACACAGCCCAGCGTTGCCGCGAACGCTCTGCTCCAACAAACCACAGGGCTTCCTTGGCATCTCTTCAAGGCCCGTGTTCACGTCCAAGGTTGTCGTGCCGCCCCAAGTCTCGGGGCTGACCAACGGCGACTGCCTGAGGGCCATGGCTGACAATGGCGTGCGCGCCGTCATCGGCGACAACACCTGGTGAGTGATGACGGGATATGCTGAGGTCAGCACCAGGTGCAATCCCATTCTCGAAAAAGGCTCGCCACACAAGGCCGCCCCAACCGCCGCACGCAACCTGAACGTCCCTTTCCAAACGTCCCAACCAATTCTTGAACTTTGCCGCCGCGCCCCCCCCCTTCGCAGGCAGCACATGCTCAATCCCGACAGCGCTTACCGCATCCACCGCACCACAAAGGTGCGCACGGCGCACGCCTCAGAGCGTCTGCGTCACGCCGTGTAGCCACCAAGAACTAGCCCCACTTCACCCTGCCGTCCACCCCCTACACCATGCTTGCGCCTAGCGTGCCGTGGCCGCGTTTCCGCACAGCACAGCTGCAAAGGCCAACACAGAGCAATTTAAAAATGCATATCTACCCCAGGATCAAAACGGCTACGAGGGCGTCGCCATCCTGCCGCGCTGGAGCACGGCCCTTTACTACGACACCTCCACGGCCGACGAGCTCGCCGGCGCCCACAACCGGCTTTACCCGCCGCCGGCCGGTGGCGCGGCCAAGACGCTGGCCGACGTGGTGGCGGCGGACGCGAGGCGGGTGGTGCTGCAGGGGCTGCTGCCTTTGAGGATGGACGGCTTCATGTTCCATCAGGTGGGTTTGTTGGGGTTGCTGAAGTGTTCGACTGAAATGGTTGTGTGTGTCGTGGGGAAAGCAGGCCGCGAGGCTTTCGTTTTGGGTGTGGCGTGCTGTGGAGCCAGCTCAGCGGTGGTGAAGGGGATGCAGGTGCTGCGACGCGGCAGCCAGCCTCGAGGGGCACAGCTGGCCGGGCCGCGCTCGCCGCTTGGCCACACATTGCAGATTTCTCCTTACCGCTTGCAGCTGATTGACTTGAAACATATTAAAACAATCAAACGTCAAGCCTGTTATCCCCTGAACCCACAACTTGGTCCAACCCAAACGCGGTGCAAACTCGTGCCACGCAGGCCAACCTCCGGGTGACACCCCTCAACGGCCCCAGCCCCATCCGCAACGCTGCGTTCCAAGGCCGGAGCCTCGTAATGGCCTGGACTGAGGCGGTCCTGGACCTCCTCGGACAGTACGTCACCTGGCCAGTCAAGTCGCTTTCCTTGGACGACATCGAATCGATCTACTCGGCCCTGGAGGCGCGAGACGCCTGTCAGATTACGTACACGCTCCGCATCGCCCGCGGGGCGAACGGCGGCGGCGGCGGCGGCGGCACGGTGCGCGCAGTGACGCTTAGAAGTGCGGCGGCGCCGGGTGCGGGCGCGGGCGCAGGTGCAGGTGCCGCAGGAGCAGCAGGAGGAGGCCCCACCTGCCAGGCGCCGCTGACTGTGCGGCGAGGCGTGTCGCTGAGCGGCGGCGAGCGGGCCGTGATCAACGCGCGGCAGGCGGTCGGGGACGAGCCACGAGTGTTCTCCATCAGGTTCCCGAAAGGCGGCGCCTCGACGATCCGGCTGACATCCGAGGCCAAGGTTCGCTGGAATGCGTGATCTGCCTACGTAGTCGTCAGTGATCCGGCCACCTGCGGGTTGAAAGCTACTGCCGGCAGGCGATGCGTTTGTTGTGTAGGCACTGGGCGGCGTGCCGCAGCATTCACTCAATCACCCCATTGCTTGGGGCACCCCACCGCTTTGCTGGACACATTCCTGTGCCGGCCTTATCAGCGGCTGTCTGTCGCGGCCGCCGGCGTCGGCAACGCGTGCTTGGCAGCACCTTTATCATGCTGATTTGATCATGCGTTGGGACCACATGCGCCCCTCAAACTTCCGAACCTCAATTGCACTAGCACCGCACACCTGAGCGGTGTTGAAATTGCTGTGGGCAGCAACAGCAGCATTAGCTCGTGCACAGGTTTTGAGGGTCTGTCCACAAATGGCAGACGCCGTACCAACAAGGTGCGACGCCTGTTCCAAACGGTTGCCTGGGACCATAAACTTGAAGGAGGCGGCATTGCATTATTGCCTTTCTGGTTGACTGGACAAATCCGATTGGGCCCCCGACTTTTGTTCTCAACAGAAGATTTGGCCATGCATGTCATGACAGGCAACTGAAGCGCTTCCACTCGGCACTGTGCGGCTTATTTTGGCCCTGTTACCCGCTCGCACGCCGGCACACGTTGCGCCCCCACGCCCCCACAATGGCCGACCCTTCCTGCCGGGCGCATCGAGTCATCTCTCTCACTCGCGCAGACTCGCGCCCGCCGCTGCACTTGGCCTGCCCTTAAGAGGCAGGCGGGCTCCCAGAGGCGAGGGCATACGGTACGGCGCCAATGCGGCTGGCCTTACCCCACAACGCATGCATTCCCGCGCTCAGTCTGGGCAGCCGGAGTACTGCTCGTCACGCAATGTCAACAGCAGTCCACACGGTTCAAAACACGCACACCTATGCATGCGATCATCGGGCACGCACGCCTGCACCCGTGCACTTGCAAGCTCTGGGTACCGTCACCCACACCACCGCAGCGCCCTTTCGCGCCCGGGTCCAGCGCTTGCCATACCCATTGGAACGCTTTGTGTGCGCCATCTCCTTGCAAGGAGTGCCCTACATCGAAAACTCCCACCTCCGGGCGCAGGCGCGCCCCAGTGCAGTTTGACAGAGCTTAATGCACACAGGTCCCGGCACGGCCACATGCGTGCACGGCAGATGGCTGCGCTCTCCCGACGCCAGCGCGTGTTGCCGAGGTCCAGGACTTGCTCACTTTGGCCCCACAGCCCCCACGTTCCACTTGCCGGTTATTGATTGCGGCCAACGTGGCTGCCAACCATCGCAGCTAGCGCCGCTGGTGCGTGCAACCCCACCAATTCACTGCCTGCTCGCCTGCGTTGCGACGCTCCGCAACTAGCCCCCCCCCCCCAGCCCCGCGTGGAAGCGGCCGACGGCGCCTTGCTTTTGTGAATCCCCACGCGCACTGACATGCTTTCTCGCTGCGACCCACCCCTCGCTGCGACCCACCTCCCTGCCTGCTGCTTTGTGCGGCCCTTTGTTGCGCCCACCTGGTGAGGCATGTGGCACCAACACATAGAGGCCCCTGTCATTTTGTTCCGCGATAACAACTTCTTGGCCCTGCAGTACCCCAGAGACAAGTGAAACTTCACTGGGAGCCCTCACAGGACTTTGCTGGTGGTCCTCCGTCACGGGCTTTGTCTGGAACAGCCGCTTCTGAATATTCCTTGGTTACGCCCTGGCCACTGCATCTGTTTGTCAATTTCATGTATGTAACCTTGCTGACGGCACCCTTGCATCAAGGCACACAGGATTTTCAGGCGCATGAGCCGAGTGCACGCCGCGCACTCCCAGAACGGGCTACCTTGGCAGGTGCATCGGGTTCCTGTGTTCAAATGCCAATTCAGGCTACATGCGTGGCCATGTGCACGGTCGCGTCGCCCTGCTTGCCCTGCCTGCCATATCAAAAGCGACCAAGTTTGGATGCTGAGCGCAACGCGGGCCATAGGAATGCTGGCGGGGCCTGCATGCGTGGATGCTGCTTGTTCTCGTGCGGCATGCGCTCACTCTTGGCGACATCTGCAGGTTGCACCTCAACAGAATGCCGCCAGTTGCGGCTCAGCTGATGCCAGTTGATCAATGGGTGCCATGTCGTTGCGTCATTCAACTCATGTCGGGGCTCAGGCGGCAGATGTTCCTGGAGCGCACTACTTCCCGTGCGCTCACATGGATGTGGATGTGAATCACGAACCGGTAGGCCTCCCGGAGCACGCTGCCCACAACCGCGGGACCTAGCCCAAGCCATGGTGTCCATATACCTCGCTCAAAGAGATGTGTGCCTTCTAAATTATTCTTCGTCGTTTGTATCAGGTAGGTTGCAAGGATGTTGGTCAGGTTACGTATGGTTGATGTACTTTCAACCGGCAGAGACATCCTTGGCGGCCCTGCCGTGTGCACGCATTTCTTTATTTATATCAGAATGGGGCACATGGACGTTGGCACTCATCCGCCCTGATCGCTTCTACAGCATCATAATAGGACCGCGTTTTTCCAACCAGTGGAATGCCGCGCCGTAACCCGTGAGCACTGCAGCAAAATCAAGTTGCGTTTGTTCAAACTATTTTGTTCAAGCAGAGCCGTGCGACGTCTCAAAGCACGCAAGCGTGATTTGGTGAATAAGCAGGACCACTGCTGCGGCGTGCAGTCGGCACCGCTTGGGATACAACGAAACGCTGCCTCTCATCTGAAGGCGCTCCTGCACAAGGATCCTGTCGTGGGGCAGCCGGTGACACGAGCGGCCACCTCGCGTGTTACGAACTAAATGCGGCCTCTCCTCTTTGTAGGGCTTCTGGTAGCAGGTATGTTGGCCCACACACGCTGCGTGGGGAGCACCGCCGCGCTGTCACCTGAACCCGCAGCAGACACACAGCAGCTGGTCAGCCACTTGAGTGCGGCCTGATCTTTGTGCCTGCAGTCATCAATGCGCGATCGAACAGGGATTCTCACCTCACCTTGCGCCTGCCTTTTTGGCCCTGCTGCATGTTCACGTCATGCGCTTGCGCAGTGGGAGGAGCGCTGGCGCAGGTGCAGGTCATGCCGCCCGCCCTTGCGCCGGCGCCGCGGTCTTCCACTGCAGGTGCGCGTGCGTGCCTTCAATGGTATTGCGGCACCTGAATACTAATAGTTGACAGCAATGCCACCGTACGGCGATGCGGGCGTTCATTTGCCCGGTATAAATGGTAACTGACCACACTAGGGAGAGCCTGCTGCCCAGCACCTGCCACCCCCCCCCCCTCAACCCGACCCATCCGCGTGGCGTGCGGCAGGTGCAGGCGTGTACGCAGCAGGCACAGCATCCGCGCCAGCGGAGCAGGCAGCAGCGGCCGCGGCGGCCCCGCTCATGCTGCCGACATCGCAGGGGCAGCCGTCGGCAGCCACGGTCCCCTCGTTCGGCCCCCCGGTTTCAATGGCTGGGATGTCGGCACCGGTGGCCTACGGCATCGCAGCAGCGCCCTATGGCGTTGTGGCACCCGCTGGGGCCGCATCCATGCGGACGGCAGCGCCCGCCCCTGCACTTGCCCCTGCTCCTGCGCCCTACGGCGCAGCCCTGCTCCCTGGCGCTCAGCCTGCAGCGGCCGTGGGAGCCGCCGCGCCGGCCACCATGCTTTTGCCCTACGCATCGGTGGCAGCTCCAGGCGGCTACACCACCCCCAAGGGACAGCCCGCAGCAGCGGCGCTCGCCTTGCCAGGGGCGGCGCCTGGGGGGGCCATGGCAGCTGGTGAGGGGGCGGGCAGCGAGCTGCACATGGAAGCTGGGAGGCGGCGGGATCAAGGGTTGCTGGGCAGCTGTGACAATTGCTGTGTTTGTGACTAGAAGAACCTGTCATGACCAAGACTGTGCTTGCACAGGCACATGTACCCGTGTTCTGCAACCCTCTCATCATCCCTCCGATGCAACCTGCAGGCACGTATGCTGCGCCCGGCGCTCCCGTGATCATGCCCGGCGCAGGGTTCATCGCCGCGCCGCCGCCCCGCGCGCGACCGCTGCCGCCGCCCGCGCCGCCAATCCCGACCGGGGCCCGGTTCGACCCCATGTGGGACGAGCTGCGTGACCTCAGTGACACCCGCCACGTCATCGTGAGTCATGGTTCCGGCTGTGTCAGCGGGAGCACCGAGGCATTGTGCAACCTCAGGCATTGAGCGCCCCTGCAGTTTGGAAGATCTGGCCAGTCAAGAGAGCTCAAACCTTGGGGATAGCTGAGTCACCGGTGGCTGAGTCGTCAGGGTTCAATCAAGCGCGCAACCTTGAGACTTGTGGGTGGGGATGGTAATTGGAAGGGGGAAGGACAGCGACCTCATGGGTCCATTGTCAGACTAGGCTGCTGCCTGCAAGGCCGCTCGAGCGTACGGCTGTGCACGCGCACATGCCCCTGTCCAGCCCGGAGCCCGTCCTCGCCCCCAACCATGCCTCTCCCCACGACTTTCTCGCGGCGCGGCCGGCAGGTGACCATGCGCGTGGCCAGCAGCCCCGACGCGATATTCTGGGGCAAGAAGGGCTTCAGGGACGCTGTCGCCAAGGCGGCGGCGGTATTGGCGGACCAAATCTGGTGGCACAGGGTGCTACCGGCCACCGACGCGTTTGGCCGCCTGTTCACAGAGGTCTCATTTGTCGTGCAGACGAGGGACCCGCAGGGCACAATCGATAAGCTGGTGGAGCGGCTGCCAGAGGACAACCTCAAAAACAAAGTCGGTGCGTGGTTCAGCATTGAGGTGTTGCTGTGAGCTTGGATTTCCTGTCTCAGAGAGGCCTTCTCAGAGTGTTGTTGCAGGGTGTGCTGGTGTTAACTAGTTGCAGCATGTGTGTGTGTGTGTGCGTGTGTGTGTGTGCGTGCGCGCGTGCGTGCGTGTGTGCGTGTGTGTGCGCGCGTGCATGTGCGCAAGGCTTGAGTGGTGCAGTGTATTGTGCAGTATATGGTGGGTATGTGCTGTTGGTTGCGCAACCCGTGAGGACAGTTTCTGCAGTGCACGTGCGCGTGCGTGTGTGCACTGCAGAGGAATGCCAGCAAACCGGCCCCAGCCCACCTTAGGAGTTTGTACCAAGCTGCAGCCACACCCGGCTTAAGACTCCCACGCCAGCTCACCCCGGGCAGCAAAGAGGCGTCAGTTGCATGTCTGACAAGGCCCTTCACCCGACTCTCGCCCCGGGGCGCCCCGTCCCCGGCCCCCACCCTTACACACACACACACACACACGCACACACACACACACACACACACACACACACAAACACACTACTCCCGCGATGTGCTTTTTGCCTCAATCCTTGCAGAGGAACTTAACCTGGAGTTTATTGGTGAGCTGCGGAACACATTGCCTTGCGACCGCTACGCTTCTCTGTATCCCGTTTTTCCCCTGAGCAACCCTGAACTGCAACGCCTGCCCCCCAGCGCGGCCGCCCTCCCCTCCCAATGCCCGCGGCCCAAACCCCTGCCGTGACGGCCCGCCCCGCACCCGCAGGCGGCACCCTTAAGGCCGAGACGCCCTCCGCCTACGACAAACGAGTCAAGGACCGCGCGGGCTCACCCCAAGCCCAGGCGGCCATGGAGGACGGCGGCATGAACCGCGCGCCCGCGGCAGCCGCGACTGCCGCGGCGGCCGCACGGCCGGCGGTGGACGCAAGCGGCGTGGGCGTCGGCGGCATGGACATGGGCGCGCCGCCTGGCGCGCTGCCCGGGAGCTCCGGTGGGCTGGGGCGGGGTTTGGGAGGGGCAGGGGACGGGGCGGCTGCGGGTCGAATGGGTTGAACAGTGTTTGACCGCAAGTTGCTAGGTAGGCAGGGGCTTCCGACATGGAGACAAGAATCCCCCTGTTGTCCTAAGTGAGCGGCGTCGATGCCTGGCAGTGCCTCCCGTTTGCTTTGCAAACCCCGGGCACGATGTCGCACAGCCGCCGCCACAAGCACGAAGCCACACGCAGCATTGACAGCGACCTTTGCTTCCACCTCGTCAAAGGTCTTCAAACTCGCCCCACCCTCTCCCACCGTAGGCGCCCTCGCCCTGCCCACTGCCGGCGCCGCCGAGCTGCCGCCCAGGCGGCGCCCCGTCAGCACGGCTGCGCGGGCTACATGGCGCGCCCCCTCCCTGGCCGTCGCGGCGGCTGGTGCAGCCCTGCTGTTGGGGTGACCCCACTTCTTCGCTCACCGCAAAGGTGCAGGACGGTCTCAAACAACCACACTCCCAACATCTGGGGGCTGCATTTGATCTGTTTCATTGTTGTCCCCCAATCCTTTTTAACCCCCTTGCATGAGTTGGCTGTGGGCCTTCTTGTCTGCTCTTTTGTGACATGGCAGTGGACTCCCTGGCCCCTGCCCGGGCGGGCGCTGGAGAGAGCGCACGCAATGTTGGCTGCAGCTGGACGCCCTTTGGGCTCAGCCAATTCTAGTTTCCTTGCATTTTCGCAGTGTGCGCATCTTGCTGAGCGCCATCACGCGTTTGAGTCCAATAAATCACTCGACATGCACCTTAATTCCAGCAGTTGCACACTTTGCCAGGCCGTCTATTTGCCCGGCGCTGCATCAGCACTGTGCCGTCCGATCCCGCATTTGAGCACCAGGGGAACCCATTGCTCCAGGTGCACATGGAACGCCGCCCTCCTGGGCGATGCAGCCCTACAAAAGCTGTTGACAAACATGTGCACATGTGTGCGTGCGTGTGTGTGTGTGTCTGTGTGTGTGCGTGCCTGTGTGTGCACGCGTAAGCACACATATTTGTTCCTTTGCTGGCGCATTACAGCGTCGCCCCCCCCTTCTCCAGCAGCAAATGCAAATGGCCAGCGAGTGCTGGCCGTTTTGTGTTTGCCATCAGCGTGCGGGGGACCACGGGCTCTTAAAACGGATGTGTCGCCACATTATGACAGGCGCTGTTGCCCATGTTGGATGCACTTGTATGATTCAAGTGTGTGATATATCTCTGCACAAGCGAGCAGTCACTCTCGCGGCCCCATCGCGCAGCGCTTCACATGCGCTTAGTCCTACGTAACATGTCTAGGTCTCATCTCTTGACTGATGCAGCTGACTTGCAGATTCTCCTTCAGAAACACAACACAACAGCTGGCGGCGCTCCATTGACCCCCGCGCATAGTCCCCACTGACTTGGTACAATCCCTGGAGGAGCGGACCATACGTGCAGGGGTGACACTTCAGCATCAGCGCGGCTGTTTCGCAGCTACGCAGGCGCTGTAACACCAAATCAGGCACTCTAAGCAGATGCACATCATGTTGCAACACTGCAGGACATGTGGGCTAGATGGCGCGAGTGTGCAGGTGCTGCTGCTGCTGATGCTGCTGCCGCTGCTGCCGCTGCTGCTTGCACTGCTTTCCAAGAACACGGGGGACCTGATAAGGCTGCCAACCAAACCAAAAAACAATGGAGCATCGGGTGTGGAGTGCTGCAAGAGTATCGGGCGCTCTGGTTACACAATTGGACGCAATCGGAACACCCGTTGCCAGCAGCTCACCAACCCACCGCACTCAGACGCTCGCCTGCGCACAGGCGCCATGGTCCCGGGCGGCTTGCCGCCTATCGGACACCGGCGTAAGGCAGCTCCTTGGCGGCCGCATAGGCATCCCCGGGGGACAGCACGAAGCTGCTCGACAGGTGCCGCTTGTGGTTGGTGGACATCTTCTCGTTCATGTGCTGCAGTGAGGTTGGGTGGTGTTCAGGGGCGGAAGGGGCAGTCAGCAGAGGAACGCCAGGCGGTTGCTGCCGGATGGTGTGTGCGTGCGAGCGAGCGCGCGCGTGCGTGTGTGTGTGCGCGAGGGAGAGAGAAACAGAGAGAGCGCATGCGCATGCACGCGCGGAGGCGGTGCGAGTGCAGATTCAAACGTCAACGCGAGGGCGCTGAGCCAGGGACAGCGGTGAGTGCGGGCTGCTCCCGTTTGAGGTTCGCACAAGACGTCAAGTCGTGTGTCCCATAGAGGAGTGAAGACTCATCGCGCTCTGCTGCAGGGCCGACAGGCGGCGTGCCCCTAGGCAGCACAAGCCCAGGCAGCGACTGCACGGGCAACCCTGTTTGTGCGCAGGCCGTCGCAGGCTGCCCTCACACCTGCTTGCCGGCGTGGCGGGCCACGACCTTGCCGCTGCCAGTCACCTTGAAGCGCTTGGCCGCAGCCTGCAAAGGGGTGGTGGCATAGCTCAGGATTTGCGAGGGGTTTCGGGTGAAGCATGTCGAGCGTTCCACAAGGCACAGCACACACTTAAATGCTTCAAGGAGCGTGGCTGGGCCAAATAATGCTGCCATTGCGGTGACATCTTAGTGTGCTGCTGCTGATGATGATGATGATGGTGATGATGCCGCAATCCCCAGCGCTGTTGCTGCTGTTGCCGTCGTGCTGCTGCTGCTGCTGCGGGTCAGAGCAGCAACATTGCTTATGCTGGACCCTGTCGTGCTGCCAGCCGATGCCGGCCAGAGAAGCCGGCTGCGTCCAGAGTCCCTGCTGCCGTTGGTGTGCTGCCTGGCAGACGTCGCGCCACGTATGGGCCTTCCATGATGGGGTGCAGTCGCCGCCTTTTGCTTGCTGCGCTGTCGTGCGCCGCACTGCTCGCATGCACCACTGCACCTCCGGACGATAGGCAATCCCCAGAGTTTTTTCAAACACCGCTGCCACTGCTCCACAATCTCGCTGCCACCGCGCCGTGCTGTGGCCGCCGGTGGCACTGCTGCAGCGCGCTCACCTTGCGCGTCTTCAGCTTGGCCTCCACCACCACCACGCAAGACCTTGCAGGCTGCAATATCGTAAGTAAACGAGCATCCAGGCGCAATGAGGAATGTGAATGGGCCACTTCAACCAAGGTGGAGGCCACCACACGAGCAAGCGATGTGGCACCCGTGCGGCATACAGCCAATGGCGACGCACGCAGGTAAGGCACGATAGTGGGTTCTTTGCTGCGCAGCTATTGAATAGTGCTTGCCACTCACCGCTGCTGCCACCACTGTGCTGCGCACGCGGCAGGCGGGGCCTGCCGCGAACGCGCTTCCACGAGAAGCAAAGACCTGTGGATTGAACACATATATCAGTGGAGACCCATGCAGCCTACATGCACGCTGTGCCGGCCGAGCCATTCGTGCGCACCGCGTTCATCGTCGCGTCGGCAGTCTAGTTCCTCTGTTTGTTAAAATCCTCGATTGATACTGGATTGGACGCTTGCTGGGGTATCTGATGGCTTGACTTGTGCCTACGGGCGGGGTGGCGGGTTGACCGCCACAAAGGAACCTGCAGGACTTCCGACCATTGGGGGCATTTGGGAGTGGCACGAGCTCCAGAGGAGGAATGCGATACAAAAGGTTAGGCCCAGGCCTCACTGACAGCAGCCACATATGTACTTGACGTCGCATCGACCGATATGGTGGTGCGCAAACGGGGTTGGCGCAGGCAGGAGTGTGCCGGCCCGTACAGCTTGCTAGGCACTATGGCTGGGACACAGGCGCTGATGGAAGTTGGGCCATCCCTTATCTCAACATCCATGCATACGGGGCTCAGACCCCGCCATCGACGCATGCGATGCCTTTTTGGCGCTGTGCAGCAGGCGCGGCGGGGTGTACACGCACACGCCATGGGCCACGATTGAACGTATGTAACAGGATACGCTCAAGTCAATCATACTTGCCCATGAAACCTGCCGAGCATACACATGATGGCGCCTCCAAACCTCAAGGTCCGCTCCTGCTGGTGCCGCTGCAACTACCCACTGCATTGAAAGGCAGTGGATGTGAGGTGCATTTCAAAGTTGCTTCACATAATAGTGCCGCCTCACTTGGGCCTGCGCTTGCTGGTCGCATTGGTGCACACCCTTGCGACGTGACACGCACGTCCAGCACGTCCTTACTAATAAAGGATCACCACCCCGCATGATGTGCAGGCAGCACGACTCGATGCATGCACTGGCGGTGGTCCCGTCCTGCCTGTGACGAGTGTGGTTGCCACCTGCGAGTCGCTGGCGACGGGCTTGCTGCAGTGGGGAGGTTGCCGGGCGTGCAGACAACTGCACCTGGTTTGCTGCAGTTGTGGCCAGCTGGTGGTCAAAATCTGGCCGAACGCCAACCTGACTGGCATCGGCACGCGAGCAGGAGTGCATATTGGTAAGGATGCCTGCGAACGAGCTGGGAGATGCACAGCCCGCTTGCAGTGCTGCCCGCTGCAGCCGGCCCCGCATCAAACCTTCCGGCTTAAAGGGGGGGAGGGGAGCCTGTGACCACGCGGGCTTCACGCCCCTACCGCGAGTCACCTGCCTGCCACACACACTGCTGCGCGTCTGCGCCTTGGCTCTCTGCTCCACATCAAGTCCTTGTGCTTCAACGCAAGTTGCTTCACGATGGGTCCCAACAGCCGCCGGCACTTGGCAATGAGCGGCTGATGTGTGTTGAGCCTACACACACTTGCGGTCGGGAAGACTGCGCAGGGCACGCTGGGTGCCTGGGCAGCAGCTGCGGTACATCCAATATCAATCGGCCTGCAAGCATGATGGCTCGTACATTAACACCCTCAAGGCAGGAAACCCTCTACCACACAAATAGGCTACAGGTGTAACTGGGATTTCGCAAGTGTCTACTTTATGATAAACGGTCGTGATGGGATTGAGTGATGTTGCAGCGCGAGTGTGGCCAGCTGCTAGACCAAGCACCACCCAGGTGCGCTTCCTCACTGCCCTGGCCCCACGGGTCATCAAATAGTGGAAAAAAGTTGATTTAAAATTTACAACCATGTTATTGGATGATCAGGGCGATGTGCGGCTTGCGCAGGTGTGTGCTGCGCGCCATGGGGAAGTTGCTACCAAGCCTTCAAGACGCGCGTGTGGTGGTTCGGTCAACACATTACTGGGATTTCGAAACTTCTGCACGACCATCCACGGTCCAGCACATCGTTTTGCCATCAAGCAGGCTCTTGGAGTTGGACCCCGCAGTGACGCGAAGGTAACAGAGGCAGGCGCCCTTCTGTCCGCCTCTGAGCCACTCAACGCCCATTTTCGGTCCGCAAGCGAACCGCATCACCCGAACGACACGCAGCCCGCAGATCACCGGGCACCCGCGTTCTCGTAGGCATCTGGGGCGGTCCCTTCAGGCCGCGTTGCTTCCTTTGAAGGCAAAAAACACCTTGCCGCGACGTATATCGTGCGCTTCATCCACCCTGGACCGTCCGTCACCTTTTGCAGGAATCGAAAAGAATGGCCAAGCTCCTTTGGCTCTGCATGGCTGCAGCCCTCGCCGCCGCGTCCTCTGCGCAATCAGTGGGAGTGGGCGTGAACGTCCAGCCCGATGGGGCCACGACCGTCGGAGTGGGGGCACCGGGCACCAGCGTCGCTGCGAAGTCGGGTGCTGGTGGCGCCACTGTGAATGTGGCCGCACCCCTCACCACTGTGACCTCCACTACCGTGGCTGCCCCCGCCGGCAAGGTGTCTAAGACTGTGGTGACGGCCCCTGGCACTGCCGTGCTTGCAACGAAGGCCGGCGGCAACGCCGCAGTGAAGGTCTCCGCCCCCTTCACCAGCGTGACTGTGGCCGCCAAGCCCGCCGGCACCGCCGCCAAGGTGGACGCCCCTGCGACCGCCGTCACCTCCACCACCGCCGATACCCCGGCCGGCAAGGCCTCAGACACCGTGGTAAGCGCCCCTGGCACCTCGGTCGTCGCCACCACCAAGCCCAGCGGCACGACTGCCGTGCGGGTGTCCGCCCCGTTCACCAGCGTGAATGTCGACGCCAAGCCCGCCGCCACCGCCACCAAGGTGGATGCCCCTGCAACTGCCGTCACCTCCACCACCGCCGGCACCCCGGCGGGCAAGGCCTCAGACACCGTGGTTGCCGCCCCTGGCACCTCGGTTGTTGCCACGACCAAGCCGAGCGGCAACACCGACGTGGCAGTCACCGCCCCTGGGACCACTGTCACCTCCACCACCGTGCCCACCCCGGCCGGCAAGGCCTCGGAGACCGTCGTGTCCGCCCCCGCCACCACCGTGACCGTCAAGGCCAAGCCGGCCGCCGCGGCCAAGACCGCCGTGAAGGTCTCGGCGCCCGGCACCGGCGTGGCGGTCACGTCCACGCCTGGCAGCACGCGCGTGAACGTTGCGGCGCCCACCACCGGCGTAGCCGTCGACAACGGGAACGTCGATGTCCGCGGCTCTTGGGGGGCCGTGACCAGGTGCGGGCTCGGGAGGCGCGCGCGCAACGCATGGGCGCATCGTCTTTTTAGGGCGGGTTCAACATGCAGCCGTGCAATTCTGTTGGCATGCAACCGCTATGTCGCGCCCGAGACTTGCGACCAACGCTGAGGCTGTCAATGTTCTGATCCCTTGTGGCCCCTCCCCTCTGGCCCTCTCCTGCTGCGCAGGACCCCGGCTGGCACTGTTGTGAATGTCCCCTTCTTCAGTGGAGTGTTCCCCGGCGGCCGTCGTATGCTTCGCCAGGCCGCCTAGGTAGGTGGCACCTGTCTTTGGCGCCTCAAGGTTGCTGAGGACACACGCGTTCAAGCGAGCCATGTGGCGTACGAACGACTACTTCCTGTGCAAAGGTTGGCACACATGGATTGCACACTGACTGCGGCTGCAGCATGGGGGCAGCTCAGCCGCCTAGTCTGGGCGGCGCTTGCACTGCTGCCACATGCAGCACCCCAGCACCCACCTGGGCTGCACTGGATGGCACTCTAAAGTTCAAACATTGGTTGATCGGCCATGGATGTATGTTTTTTTCAGGTTGTTATTTAGCTCAAGAAACCAGTCCCATACACAAGCACACCCATAATGTCTGGCTTGCGCCTTTGTCACCTTGTGAGTTGGCTAATTTCAGTCGCGCAAGTTGGGTTCAAGAAAGTCACAACCCCCACTGTGTAAACACCAAGTACACATAACTTCTAATGGCTCCGTTGGTCCATGACCTTGAGACGGGATGTTGGTTGCTGCACCGCAAAGATGCCAGATGGAATTCAGCTACGTTCACCACGGTGTCATCTGACATGGGAGGCCACGGAATGCAGTATGTCACCAGGGCAGGGTGCTACATGCTAAGGCTGCTTGACATGCCAAAGCTGTCAGCACCAGTGCCCGCACCAGCCCCCCGTTTCAGCAGAACCGCACTGATCTGGCAACATTGGCACCACGGCGCTGGTATACCGTTCTGTGGGAGTAACCTTGGCCAACTCCTGGGGTGAGCAGGGAGCTGCGCCACACCGCTTCGCAACTCACATTCCATGTCTGCCTGTGCCTTGCCCTGCGCCTGTGCACGCCGGCTTCAAATGCATGTGCAGGTGCACAAATGCACAAATGCACACACACACACACACACACACACACACACACACACACAC